GTGTTTCTCAGAGAAAAGAAGGTCAGGGAAAAATCTGTAGATGGAAAAATCTCCATACAAGTTCTTTGTGCATTTTTCTTTTTTTCTACTTGTTACTTTGCACTTTTTGTTAGAAAATGTTTATTTACTATTTATTCAGGTTAAGGTATCTAATATTTTGATACTTAATTTCCATGATCTAAATATTCTTAAAAATGAAAAGTTTGTTGTCATTTGGAAATGTGTAGGCCTTCTTGCATTATTATGCCGTAAAATTTTTATTATACATATTCAGTGGCATAATGGTCTTTAAAATGACAATAATATCGCTTATCGCAATTATTTCTGCGGCAATATATCGCACAACAAAAAGTTGTTATCGTGACAGGCCTAGTTGTGATCAAAACAATCATCTGATTATTATGGAAATGTTTAGCAGCAGACATCATGTCGCCTGGTTAAACATGCGACTATCGAAGAAATGGCGATTGTAGCAGTAACTAATCGTGTGACAGTGCTCTGTGACTCATTAAATAAACAGTGAGCAGGAAAACATTTGACCTATTAAGAGTTTACAGGTTCAGTGCTGTTTATTTTGTGTCTTTACAGGTTTTTATCATTTTCTCTCCATTGGAAGTACTTGTAGTCCAAATGAATACAGATCTGCTTATGGAGAATGTTGTCCAATGTGCAATCCAGGTAGGCTTACTCATCAACTTCATCAAACACATTTAAATATGATAAGTGGTAATAAAGAAGAGAAAGTTTTTCACCTTTTCTCCCATCTCCACCATACCCCAAAAGTATAGTTAACAGAAGTTATGAAATTGGGCCACGTCTGCTATTTTCATGCAGGATTAATGATTTATAAAAATCGTTAAGATGGATGTATCTACTGCACACTGCTGCTGACGCAGGTAATTGACCACAAAAAAGACAATGTATTTCTTTATGTATGCGATTTTGCAGGTTATTGAATAATACATATTAACATATATCTGGAATTATCAAAAATTGATTTTAATAATATTACAATTCAAGCCTCTGTACAGCACTATATGAAAATAATTTGCAGTTTACCATTATGCTCATAGCGACAGTATAAATGCATGTCTTTAGCTGTCTGTTTACTTCGAACAAACAATTGAAACCTCCTTACATTTGTTAGGAGATTGATTAATTTATTTGTTTTATTTTTTACCTTTCCAAATCGTTCTAAGAATTCACAAAGTACAGCATGTCATCTTAGTTTTGTATGGTCATTGCCAGTGTGTTTTTTTGTGTGGTTATTGGTCAACGGGCTGCTTTGGGAATTCTGCCACTATAGGCAATCCCTGCATTCCAGAAGCATTCATGTTTAACTCCCACCCCACCCTCAATTGCACAACTATAGAGAACTTATGAAATCACACGAATATCTATGAACATCAACATCATCACGGACCCATAATGTTTTTATTTTTCCAGAAGATCCTTGAATTGCTTGGTCACCTTAGAGTTGTGTGTTAATATTTGTTTGTAGGATCAGTAGTACACAGTGACTGTAGTGAAGATGTAAGTACCACATGCAAACCCTGCCCTCCAGGAACATTTGTGAATGAACCCAATGGTCTTCATCTGTGCTTCACATGCAAACACTGTGCTGAAAGTATGTTTATATTTTTTCTTGCGTGTTTCTTTTACTTTCAGAATTTGTAATTTTGCCTTATTGCCAATGTTAACGTGTTGCTAAATGTGCTCTTCTAGGTCAAGGCCTTTACATCCAGAGTAAATGCACTACAATAAAAAACACCATCTGTGATGTGCTTGATGGATATTACTGCATTGATTACTCCAATTCACAGTGCCGTCATGCTGAAAAACACAGAGTTTGCAGACCAGGACAAGAAACAAAAACACCTGGTATGTTTCTCCATTTAGAAGTCTGTAACATATTTAAGTCTCCCCCTATTTTAAGGTGTAATCCTGATATTTTCTGTCTCTGTATCTGCTTGCAGGGACAAAGGCATCAGATACAGAATGTGTGGACTGTGCTCCTGGGTTTTATTCTCCATCAGGGCTGAACTGCACCAAATGGACAGAGTAAGTGAAGTGTTATTTGTGCTATGTCTGATTTGAACTTCTCTCTGTCATTCATTTAGTAATATCGGTATTTTTCTTAAGCTGTGCAGCCAGAAATAGGATTCAGACAGAAGGTGGCAGTCCTGAGAAAGATGTAACATGTGAACTGAAGCCAAAGGAAAGATACAGTCTTGTAGATTTAATTGCAGCTTCCTTCGCAGAATTCTACAGAAGTTTTTTCTCTGAAGTTCAGAAGGCCAATAACGGTAAGTGGACACATAATTTATTTTAACTTCATTCGTGGCCAAGTCCAAACCTTTTTTCTTTTTTTTTTGTAGCAGCAGCCTTTTGTCATTTTAAATATATTGATGAACTTCTAAAAATGTGTTATTATATAACCCTGTGTGGTTAATTTAATTGACCTGATTTGATAAAGGCCTCACAATTAAAAAAAAAAAATGTCATTACGTTGTAAACAATGTACATTTCAAATTCAAAGTGTTTTTTGTCTTTTCTCTAAGAAAAAAAGTGACGTTCATCCAGGAGCCTCAGTGCAGGGCACTTAACAGGTAGCATCATTTTGAGTAGCCACATTCTGAAATGCTGATATACATGCAACAGTTTGTGGAGACTACCATGCCATTAATTCATTTCAGTTTTATATTTTTTTAAAGTTATTTTTGGATTGATCTGTATGAAAGAAATTCTGATGAAAGTTCTATACCACTAATCTATAAGTATGACTGGATTACTTACAGAATTCTAAACTGCCAGCCAGCGCTGAAACCACTGGAGGTGTTGAAGTTCTCCACCGGCAGAGGGCATCACTGACTGACAGCCAAACTTATAGTTACTTTGGCTGTTGTCTGTAATAACCAGCACAGTATTGCTGACGAGTGTCTGTCTACTGCACATCCCTGACACAAGATGTCATTATGCATGTAATATTAGACAAGAAAATATTAAACAGGAGCATATACATCAAGGCCTGTATTCACAAAACATTTTATCTTACCACTAAGTTCACCTAAATAGCAGTAAAAGTTTTTAGCTAAGAGTTTCTCTTAAACCCAATTCACAAAGCTGCTGAGACAAACTTTTACTAAGGAATAGAGAGAAATCTTAAAGGGGTCCTATTTTGCTCTTTTACAAAGTTTTGATTTTGTTTTGGGGGTGTACTAGAACAGGCTCTCATACTAGGTTGTTCGAAAAACACATACACTCGTTGCCTTCTCTAGTGCAGCTCAACCAGGTCTCGTCCCATTCGTCGATATTTGTGATATCACAAATCCCGGAAAATATGCGTTGTAGTCCAAACGAGTCGTTCGTTGTAGTTTTTGAAAAGTGATTTCTGTTAAATAAAATATCTCCTTTTGAAGTGGACTTTGAGCTTTGTAACTGCAGATCTTTTTTATGCTCAAACAGCAACATTACAGACTAACTAAAGTTGAAAAAGCATAATAGGACCCCTTTAAGCTTAGAGTAAGGGGGTGGGGCTGACCTCGTTGCTATGGATATCAGCATTCTTACTAACTATGCACACAGTGATTGGCTGATAGGGGCAGTCTCTGTCAGAGATTTATACATAGAAATACTGTAGAGCACGATTTTATGTTGCCATATTCAAATAAAGGTTTAAAAATAAAAATGTCAGTTGCCACGTTCAAATAAATACTTTAAGATGCAGGCTAAGCGTCACTAATTAAACAAGTATATGTTCAGCTAACTGTCAGCCTTTTACATGTATGCTTCTTGTAAACAATTAGTGAATATGCATATAAACAGCCTTTTAATTAACAGAGTAGAATAATCGTGGCTGATAGTAAGACATGCAAACGTAAAAGAAAACCAAACTGGACACAAGAAGAGCTGTTACTTCTTGCCCAACTGGTTAATGAAAACAAGGATATAGGCTAATCAAAGGAAAATTGTCCCTGAAAAGTTCTACAACAGTCAAAATACCCCCACAATTAAGGCGATATACCTTTTTAAAAGCTCATTATTGTCAAATGTTTCTAAAATGTTTACATTCCAAGGCAGATTGCAGGCAGCAGCCATTTTAGGATAGTTTGTGGCTTGGTCTTAATGACTGTGAAGTCCTCTTCACTACTCCTAATGTTTCACAGATTTAGGAGCTAGTTTTAGTGCTAAAATGCGTTGTGAAATACTCTTAGAGCAAAAATGTAGGCGTGCTAAATTTAGGATGGGCACGCCCATTACTTTTAAGATTTTCTCCTAAATCAGCGAGTTATGAGCTACTTTTAGCTTTAAGATGTTTTGTGAATACGGGCCCAGATCATTAGCAAAAACTGATATGAGTCTACAACAACTATTACAATGCAAGCTTCTTACTATATTGCATTAAAATAATTCAGTGTTTACAATGCATCTTGTTTGGAGCGACAGTATAAACACATGGAAATAAAGCTTCATGTCTTTAAGACCATATGCAAAGAAGAGCTGTTACTTCTTGCCCAACTGGTTAATGAAAACAAGGATATAGGCTAATCAAAGGAAAATTGTCCCTGAAAAGTTCTACAACAGTCAAAATACCCCCACAATTAAGGCGATATACCTTTTTAAAAGCTCATTATTGTCAAATGTTTCTAAAATGTTTACATTCCAAGGCAGATTGCAGGCAGCAGCCATTTTAGGATAGTTTGTGGCTTGGTCTTAATGACTGTGAAGTCCTCTTCACTACTCCTAATGTTTCACAGATTTAGGAGCTAGTTTTAGTGCTAAAATGCGTTGTGAAATACTCTTAGAGCAAAAATGTAGGCGTGCTAAATTTAGGATGGGCACGCCCATTACTTTTAAGATTTTCTCCTAAATCAGCGAGTTATGAGCTACTTTTAGCTTTAAGATGTTTTGTGAATACGGGCCCAGATCATTAGCAAAAACTGATATGAGTCTACAACAACTATTACAATGCAAGCCTCTTACTATATTGCACACTATATTGCATTAAAATAATTCAGTGTTTACAATGCATCTTGTTTGGAGCGACAGTATAAACACATGGAAATAAAGCTTCATGTCTTTAAGACCATATGCAATCATCATTATTTCTATGAATAAGTTATAAAGAGTATTTTATTTCATGACATTTTTATCCATTTGTTATTGGACATACTCATTTAACATGGCTGGCTGTGACTACCACATTTCTACAGTGGCATTATTATTTAGAAACTATTGCTTTTGTATGATGCTTCATAACATAAACATAAAAAGTGTGCCTTTAGAAAAAAACTCAAAATGATCACCCTAAATAAAACCACATTCTATTGTTTGTTTGCCTAAACATCTCCAAATTAATTCCCCCAATCTGGCCACTTGAAATGCAAAATGAACGGATGTTAAATCATTTGGGAAACAGAATCCCTCTAAAGAAGACATGACATTTCATTGTACCGAGACTGACAATATTGGAAACAGATTCTGAAGATATTCCTTGTTCATCAACAGGTGTTCCAGTAACTTTTTGGTGATTGATTTGAATGAAGTATTGCCATTATAACACAACAGGACCTTTGTTGCATCTCAAAATGTGCTGTTATAACTACAAATAAAAGGTTCATGGCAAATCCAGTGTCCGATGATCATTTCAAATCATCTGCACCATTAAGAATCTGATAACACTCCAGCATGTTTTTGTTACAAAGCAGTGTGAAACAGCATGACAACTGGGAGGTTAAGAATTTAAAAAGTAAACGACTACAATTCTGACTAAAACAAGATTAAGGGATCTGAAGCATGAAAACACATAAAATTGTAATTTAGCAAGGTAACAAGCAGCATTTTCATTAAGTTTAATAGGCATGGATGACTATAAAAATAGAATAATTTAACCAGTATGTTCATGTTATTTACAGCATTCTTGAGTTTAAAATGTTTCAGCTAGACTGCAAACAAGGTTCCCAAAAGTGCATGGACTTATTTACTAAATTGCTTTTTTTTATTATGAAATGAGGCCGTTACACTACAAATTCAACTACAGAATACAAAGTATTGACAAAGGCACGTAAATCATACGAAGATGTAAAAAAATTGTATGATGGCATCTGCTTAAACGTACTACAAACAACTATAAATAAGACAAACACCACAAATTGCTTCGGAAGCCAAAGACTGAATAAAATATGACACTGAGATCTGGTAAACATTAAAAAGGGAAAACAGTTAGCAAATAAACTGTGTACAAATTGTATACATTTTTTCTTGTACATTTATTGGTGGTTTTCCCGGTCATATTCAGTCCGTCATGCAGCGTACAGTCTTTTAAACACAAAGAGACATGACTAAATGTTCATGCTCCTCTGAATCTGCTCCAGCGCAGCCTCCTGTTCTAACACGCTCCCACATATCTACATCACTATGTGGAAATATTTGCATAATGGCAATTTCCAAATGTGCACGCAAAGAAAGGAGGAGTGGTTTCAGTAACCGCAGTTAGTGTTGAAGCAGCCATGTCAGGGAGACGCTGTGTGTTTCTAGGCGAAAGCAAAAGCACTTTATTTGGCCTTCCGAAAGTAGATGCATTTAGGAATCTTTAAGATTACTTACAACAGAACAGCAATGCATTTTATGGACGACCATTTCGTGAACCTAGGAGAGGAGGTAATTCTGACTTTGCTATGACAATCTGGCGCTTCTGAATCAGCTACTGTTTTGTTATTAGCATAAGTATTTGCTATTGACTGTTCAAATGCGGAGTTTTGCGCATCGTGTGTGTGTGTGCGCACGCTGTGTGTGTGTGAGAGAGAGAGAGATAGAGAGAGAGACAGGGTCACATCACAGTGGAGTCAGCTGTCTTAACCGTGGCTTGTGTACTGCAAACACATACCAGCTTCATCACTGTGTCTGTCACGCGACTCTGTTCCCCTTTCGGGCTTGAACTGATGGTAAAACTAATGACATTATTTACTGTCTTTACATTTATTTTGAAAGATGAAGCTCGCGATTATTACATTTCCGACGAGTGCTTGCGATGTTCGGCCAATCACAATGCACTGGGTCAGCTGGCCAATCAGAGTAGACTGTGCTTGTCGGAAGGAGGGACTTTGTAGAAAACGAAGCGTTTGAGAGAGGCGGGGCATAGAGGACCTACAATAATGTACAGTATTTGAAAAATTTGTTTTTTGAACATTAAAGCATGTCAACATATTCTGTTACACCAAATACACAAAATAATGATCTTTAAAAAAGCATCATATGACCCCTTTAAAATAGCATCTGATCAACACTGATGTAGGAAATATGTACATGCACTGTAAATTACAACACAATTTGGATGCATGAATATGTAACTTGCCTGCATCATTTGCTGTATTTTTGACTGCAACTTTGACTCCTGGATCACTTTACGAAGGCCGTCTAATGTGCGTTTGTTTATGAAAAATCTCTCTGTCAGTTGATCTGGCTTCACAATCGGCTTTGGTCTTTGCAAGCAAATTTGTACATCAGAGGTGATGCCAAATTCTTTTCTTAGCTCACAGTCAGTCTTGGGTTGACTCCTCTGATCAGATTCTAGATTTTCATAGGCCTGAGACAAAGGAATGCATTAAATGTCAGCCTATTGAAAGACGTTATTTCATTAAAACTAACAAAGATGATGTTTAAATTTGGTTATTACCTTTTCAGTATCATAAGTGGCTTGAACACAGACATTCTGGGGTGCTTCCAAAACGCTGGCAGTTTCAGCGAGAGCTGCATCATCTTGACTTCTCGTCTCAGGTGGACTTCCACTCTCCAAGTCTTTATCTGCCTCCATATTCACATTTTCAGAAAGACAGCTCAAGTTGCTTTCATCTCTTTCATTTCCCTCGATCTGCTCATCCATCATCTCATCACCCATTTTGGCTGAATAATTATCTGGACCACCATCTTTTTCAATTTCCGCATGTGCCAGTTTTTCCCCTTCATTCTGTGAGACAGACTTTGCGCTTGTCTGTGTGTGTTGAACTTCCTCAGATTTGTTCTGGGAGGAAGCTTTCTCCACTTTATCACCAGCACGAGTCTCTGACTTGGGTGGAATGTATGACACAAATATGACATTAGAGTCTTCATCGCTCTCATCCACCTCCGTTTGACTCGGTGTAGGCAAATTTCCCGGGGCACCTCCCAGACATGTGGACGTTTCCTCATCGTCATCACAGAGATCAATAATTTCACTTACATTTCTTTTTGGGTCTTGCTTAGAAGAGTTTGTCCCCAGAGCGGAGCTGGCAGGCAGCGCAGGAGAGGTGCTGACAACCCCTCTTTTCCCACCTTCGCTGATCATCACATCCTTGGCGATCTCAGAATTTTTCTTGGCCACAAAGTAGACTTTCCCATTGCACATGACCAGGGCGTTGTCTTTGCCTGGGGTGATCTTTTCTTGGCTGGTCTGAGGAGGTGTGGGTTTGCTTGGCACAATTTCATTTGCCGTCCCAACTGAGTTGACATTCGTGACTGCTTTTATAGTGTCAGAGTTGACATTCGGTGTCATTACAGGTACAAGGCAAGGAGCGGATGCACCTGTTCCCTCCCGGACGACCCATTTTAAGGGAGTGTTCACTTCTTCATTTGTTTTAGAAACGCAAACAGGTGTTTGCAATTTTGTAACCAGATTTTGAAACCGGGTCTTCTGTATTTGACTTGGCTTTGTAACCGAAACTACTTGCTGGTCAGAATTGAGCTTAACAGAGTTCACAGGGGAAACAAGCACAACGGTTGGTGGACTCTTTTGGAGGTTAGGGGTGTTACTCACAGAGTTCATTATCCGGCATTTGATGGACTGTGGGAGCGCAGTGGCTGGCAGAGTCCTAACTTTCGCATTCGGAGGGATCTGCAGGAAATGACCGTTTGGGAGAACAGGTGATTTAACTGTAACAGGCAACATTTGGACTGCCACCATGCCCTGTCCATTGGGCTGAGGCGGCAACTGGACTGAATACTGGGAAAGCGATTGTGTTGAAAGAGGAACATGCACTGGCTGTGGATTGTGAATAATGAGGTCATTAGTTCCACCATGTTGAGTTTTGACAGCGTTAGATACAGTTCTGACCTGCGGCAGGGCTTTTAGGACATATCGTCCATCTGCTATGGTCTGGAGGGAGGGAAGCCGCATCTGTGTTTGAGATGAAGCAGCAGCAGGTGGATGAACCGGTTTTGCATAGGCTTTCAGTTGTACATCCACACTGTCTCTTTCTGTACTAAATGGTGTCTGATAAAACTGTCCATTTACTTTCTGGACAGGAATCAACTTCATGACATTTTTCCCATCGGGTCCCACTGCAGGCATTGCTTGGTAATAGACTCCTGTTCCACTAAAAGATGAAGAAAAAAATTATACATCAAAATTATCTTTAATATTCTGTGAAAATACTATAAAATATATATATATATATATATATATATATATATATATACACACACACACCGTATATATAAACACAAACACATACAGTTAAACATTATTTTTCATTTACATAATAAAGTTTTATGTAAAGAAATGTTTCTTGAGCACCAAATTATCATATTAGAATGATTTCTGAATGATCATGCAACAATGAAGACGAGTAATTGCTGGGAATAATTTACATTAACATTACAATATTACATTACTGTATTATTATTACTATCAAATAAATACAGGTTTGGAGATCATAAGAGACTTATTCCAAAAACATTTTTAATATCTTACAGATCACAAATTTGTGAATAATAATTAACGCTTATGATTTACATTATTTAAAAAATGTTTACCTGTAGAATTCTCTGTGCTGACAAGTGTCATATGAATACATGGATTCAATTAATGATAAAAAAAATATGAACAATAATGGAAGAAACACATAGTACTTCGTCAAGTGTAAAACTGTAGACATTAAACAAATTTGAGTATTTATCACATCTGTCAGCTGTCATCTAATTTACGTGCATTCTTTTAAAATGTGTTCGGTTTTGTGCGTTTTCGGAGGTAACAAACACTCGCCATTTTGGACAAGCTTACAACGATCGAACAAGAACACACACGGTTGTTAACGCGTAGACGCATAAACTTGATAAACTTACCTCTCCATCATTAATATCTGTAAGCATTACACCTTAAGAAATACCTGTTGTCGATATTTTCTTTAGCGCATCGTTCAATTTTATCCAGCAACTGGAAAACGGCCCCCTTTACAGGATGTAAAACTCAAACCGGAAATACGTTTATCAAAATAAAAGACACCTGAACCATCTGAACCGTAAAAGGAAGACAAAAAGAACGAAAGATCAAGGGGGAGGGGGAAACGAATGAACAAGGCAGAAGAGATAAAGGAGAAAATAATAAATGAGGAAAAGGGAAAGAACTAAACGAGGCAGAGCAAATGGGCTGAATAATGAATGAATGAATGAAACGGTAAAGAAAAATTAAAGGAAAAGGAAAACTGAAATCGAAAGAACTAAAAAGATAACAAGCACAAGTGAAAAAGAGCCAAAAAGAGAGAGACAGAACAAATGAAAGAAAAGAAACAATGAAAGAAAAGAACACAGAAATTTTGGAAAATTGAACAAAGGCAAAAGCAAAAAATAAATAAATATATAAATAAATGACTAATGCAAGATCTTGTAAGACAAGATAATATTTCTCAAAGGTTTTACACTTAAAACTGAATGTGTTATTTTAATTCATTGCAGTTATTCCATACATAGTACTTACCAGAACAACAAAACCTTTATATTAAGAGGCTTGTATTCTCCAACAAATGAATTCCTGCTCAGCTGACTAACTTTAAACTCAGTATTGGGTCATTCAGTGTCAAAACCAAATTTTAGAAAATTCCCTGGCTACATTTTTTTGTTTTGTTTTCTGAAGATTTTTTTTTTACACAAAGATTGGTAGGTATATTAGCAAAATCTGCTGACTTTAATAAGCTTTGTTGTATTACATACAAATGGTGACCGTTCAAAATTGGGGAAAACTTTTTGAGTCCCCCCCCCCCCCCTCTTAATATCCTTTTATATTTTGGTTCTTAACAAACCATTATTTTGATATTCCTATTTTTAAGGCCCTATATGGTTCACTTCCAGAGATATTGGGATTTCAATGCGACCCCATAATCGAGTAATTGGTCAATTATACACATCTTTAGTGGTCAAAAACCAAATGTGGGTAATTTTAATCTTTTAAAGAGTAATGTCTGAAAAACAAACAATGTTGAAGCTAGAAATGTATGATACTACACCAAATTCAAAAGAGCATTATTTATCCTTTAAAATTGTTTGTTGCACAATAAAAATGTTACATATAAAACAAAAATATACAATCAAAACCAATATTTCATATATACAGTATGCATACAGATTCCTTGAGTTTATCCTACTTCCCTTTATCTACCCAGGCAAAAAAATTACACCTGGCCTGAGGATTGGAGGCATGGCCTTGAGGACGAGCGCATACAAAAAACTGCCGCCCTAAATTAGGTCCTGCTTTTTTCACAGTCCGTAAGACGCAGGGCTCATTGTGTGATTTACACAGTGGTGGTTGAGGAGGCCCATGCAAAACCGCTTTCCAAAAACCAGTGCATGGCCCCTTTTTACAGTCCTTTGACTTGACTATGGATGTCAATTCTCCTTCCACTTCATCCTGATTTTCAGTCTCCATCTCTGTTACCAAAGAAAGATTGGTCTCCGTTTGCACATCGCTAGGGCAGCTTCTGACGTCACTCTCACTACCTGGGCTATCCTCAGAGGATTTTGTCTGTTTCGGGCTCAAGTTTCCAGTGGAAGGAATCGATGGTGTTTGTTTAGGCTTAAAGAAAGCTAAAAGACTTCCTTTAGCATTGCCTTCAGTTTTCATCTGATTGCTTTTTTTGGCTTTGGATGCATTTGCATCTTTTTCTCTACATGTAGGTCTCTTCTTTGCAACACTGTTTCCCTGTACTACAGGATTCAGGTTTTCCCGAATTTCCCCAGAATCCTGTGATCCAGGTAGACTCTCTTCAGAGACTTTAGAAAGCCTCTCTTTCTCTGAAACTTTGACAAAGAAGCGTGAGAGTTTCTGCTGTCTGCCAGTGAACTCTGGCATGTGACGTGTGCACAAGGGTGGGCACTTGGGACTAGACCGGAGGTTACAGCTGAGCTGCGCCCATACGGGACAATGATCGGATCCCTCCACCTCCGGCATAATGTCCACACCAAAAAAGGCAGACTTCACCAGACAGTGGTCGGCTAAGATGTAGTCAATCCGTGTGCCATAGTTGGTCTGCCTGGCACCCGTAATCGTGGACCAGCACGTGAAGGCATTGGAGCGCTTTGGATGGAAATGGCGGAAAGAGTCGACAAACTTGCCTCCAGAGGTAGATTTCTGGGAGATGTCTGTAAGTTCATCTTCAGTATTTCCATTTTCAGTCTTTTCTGCCGTTCCAAACAGAAAATGATCCAGCCACTTCCTCCCAGGATTATCGTCAAAGTTATCCTAAATGACAGAACAGTAATAAGAGCAGATATATGCTAGTATGTAACTTGTGCGATAAAACAAATATACTGTACCTCTTCCGTGTAAATTTTAGCTTTTGTCCTATCCAGTTGCAACAAGACATTTGCTTGGTTACCTAGTTTCTATTTCTAGTGTGTAACATCGGGTGACTCCGCCCATAATGAAATCTTATTGGTCCATTGGAAATACAGTTCCACATATAATTATATTAAAGGTCATACCGTGTCAAATCAACCAAATTTCAGAAACTTCCCCGGCTCACATTTTAGATTTTGCTAATATTTTTTTCTGAAGAAAGACAGACATGTATAGTGATGAAAGCCAAAATATTAAACGTCATGGATGAATATTTACTGAGTAATCCACTAATGGCAATTTTCACCTAAGATTCAGAGCTAATTTACAGGGGGCTAAAAATGACTTCAGAAAGATGGCAGCATCATAATGTTATTTTTACACAGAGATTGGTAGGTCTATTAGTAAAATCTGCTGACTTTAGCAATCTTTGTTGCATTTTGTGCCAATGGAGACAAATGGGGAAACGGCATTTTTCAAGTTTTTACTCCAAAGTTTGCATGTCTGTAACTCAAGAAGTATTAAAGATCTTAATGCCCTTTTAGATATTGGGTCTTAACAAACTTTCCTTTTGGCATCTTCATTGTTAAGGCCCTATAATGTTCGGTTCAAGAGATATTGGAATTTCAATATGGCTCCAGGAGTAAATTGTTAAAATGTACACATTTTCAGTGGTCAAAATCCAAATGTGGGTCAATTTGCAAAAATATGATACTTCTTTTCTTTTAAAGAGGAATGTCTGAAGAACAAATAATGTTGAAACTAGAGATGTATCTCGTTTACTTCTGTCAATGCAACTGCATTGAACATACCTGTCTGAGTGCCATAAATATATTTTTTCCAATGTTTGCATGCCTATAACTCAAGAAGTATTAAAGATATTGCAATATGATTTTAGATTCTAGTCCTTAATAAACTTTTCTTTTGGGATCTTCACCTTTTTAAGGCCCTACATTGTTCAGTCCCAGAGATATGGGGATCTCAATGAAGCTCCATTTTCAGATTGTTGAATATTTTACCTATTTTTAGGGGTTGAAAACCAGGTGTTGGTCACTTTGTATACAGCTAATACTTACTGTATTTAAAGCAGAATGTCTAAAGAATAAGTAATGTTGAAACTAGGAATGCATCCTGTTTCCTTCTATCAAAACAATTGTAATTGCTAAAGTCTGATTTTTACTAACAGACCTACCAATCTCTGTGTAAAAATAACATT